CCCCCCCCCGGCGTATATGCTCACCCTCTCCCTCTCCCGCAGTGTGACACCCGGCCGACCTCCATGCAGCATTAGTGCCGTGTGAAATGCTGGTCTGTCTGCTGGGACCAGGTGACTTCTGCTCTCAGCTTCCCCCCCACACGCAGATGAACACTGGACTTCAGAAATGTAAGTGCCCCCATCTCTCCTCCCTGTGCCCCCCTCCTCCCCCATTCGCATTTTTAAATGTGCCCTGACCTACATTCCTGCATTTCCTCTCAGTGCCTTATCGAGACCGTCATTAAAGGCCCCTTGTAATCAGCCCAGCCCCCCCCCCCGACGGCACTTCAGTGCCGCCGGTGCTCACGGCCACACTTTCTCCTTCCTGCTTTTCTTCTGGGTCTTTCCGCCGGTTCTGTCAGTTCTCCTGGCATATCCTGTGACGCCTTTCTGTAGAGTCATGCATCCTGAGTGGGAGGCCTTTTATGCCTCCCTGCTGCCCCCTGCTGGAAGCAGCCGGCAGACTTCAGCATCGAAGGAGCCATCAAAGCCTGACGCTGTTCTCCATACCGTCGTTTGTTTTTTATGTCATACTTTAATTCTACCACAATTCAGTTTGATTAAATGCTTATTTGACTGTTTTGACTACCCAAATTCATTGAAACTATTTCACAAATATGACCATGGGAATTTATCATGCATCATTAATGGGCTACAAAGAAAGTAGAATCTCAGAACATTAATTTTCATTGTTATTTTTATTTTATTAAACAGGGAGTGCAAGTCAATGTAAGTTATCAAAAAGGCAAACTGCTGAACTGTACAGAACAAAGACACATAAAGGAAAGAGCTCCCTGATTGGCTGCTTTCAGTAGACTGACCAATGTGGAAATTTTGACTGACAGTGATAAATTTTTGTGTATAATCTCCGATACCTGTAACCAGTTAACTTTCTGCATAGGGGCTGGGGGCAAATTTCGTAATAAATTATGAGCATGTTCCGGGCTGGTACTTGCAGTCGAATATCACCACCTTAATTAATTTGTGCCAGTGCAGTTTTGGCGAAGTCAGAAAGACCATGTGGCCTGATACGGCGGATGCCCCAGCGGCCTGAGATCTGCCTGCTTGGTGTATTAGTGCCCCGTAATGTAACGAGAGGCCGCGTCTGGGCGTGCCCCCGTCTGATGTGGCCAGGGCCCCCACCTTATTCGGGGACGGCCTTCTGTCCGGCCTGCGGAGCTACACACAGGCTCTGATAACCCTCTTATTGCATCTGTCCTCCTCCTGCTTCTGTTTTATGCCTTCAGCGCCCCCCGGTGGATTTCTTTTGCAACTTGGCCCCTCCATTTCCAGACTAAAATGTTTATTTTCCTTTGTGCGCATCTTCCCACCTCTTTTGGGAGTCTAAGGAAATGCAAATGGCTGGCATTTAAGGTTCACCGGGCAGCCCTGATCTGCAGGGGAAGCTCCATCCTCCACCTTCTGAGAGGGACCATCTTTTATTAAGAGGGGAAGGTCATGCGGAAATGTCGCCAGGTTTATGGTTTTATATTATAGATGTCCTGCTTCAGTGGGCTCCTCACCTCCGGGGCGCCCCCTGGAGGCCGTGTGTGTGTGCACGCGTTACCCCCCATCAGAAGTCACATGCACAGCTCAGACCTCTTCCCTACCAAATACCACCAGGCTCTGCTCTCCCCCCAAATGAAGACGACTTTAATTAGCTTGTTAGCCCCCCCCCCCCCCAAGTACACTACCAGTCAAAAGTTTTTGCACACACTAACATTTGCATGTTACTTATTGAACATTTACTAAAAATGCACTTAATATTCTTTGCTGACAGAAATTTACAGTCTTTTCACAATCTGAGTACAATTATTAGCAATAAAATGTCACATCTGACTCATCAAAGTAACCTCCTCTAGCAGTTATAACAGCAGAGAAAATCTGCATTAAATACTGCTCTGTTTCATGGGATGAAACCATTAACCATTAACTAGTGCGGGCCCCTTGTGTGTCTCTCCCTCCCCCTGCGGTCCGCGGACCCTCCTCCCTGCGGTCCGCGGACCCTCCTCCCTGCGGTCCGCGGACCCTCCTCCCTGCCCGCTTGTCCTTCCTTGTGGGTCCCCCGAAACTCTTCCTGACTCTCTCCCTGACCCTCGCAGGGGACACTACACAGAAGATGAGATCTGCACAGTATCCAACCCCAGCAGAACTGGATGCTTATGCTAAGAAAGTCGCCAACAACCCGCTGACCATAAAGATCTTCCCCAACAGTGTCAAGGTTCCTCAGAGGAACCACGTCCGGCACACCGTCAACGGCCTGGACACGTCCGGTCAGCGCTACAGCCCCTATCCCTGCCTGGCCAGTACGAAGGCGGGGCTTCTTGCCATCGTCAAGCTGCCCGTCAAGGGAATCCTGAAGGACATCGACGGCAGTCGGGCTCGCCTGCTTCCAGAGATCATCATGAACCACCCAGGGGGGCCCTATGTCGCGGCAAGCACTTTAAACCCCCCCCAAACTGTCCCTGTGCCCCACCCGCAGGGTATCTCACGAGCCCAGGCCTTACCACAGCAGAGTCTGCCCCACCCACAGCAGCAGCCGCAGCAGCCCCCCCCACAGGGCCTGCGGCACCCCCCCGGCATGGCCCAGCCCCCCGGGCCACCGCACCCGCAGGGCCTTCCCCCCCGTGCTCAGACTCTCTGCCACGGCCCTGCCAGTGTCTTGCTGCAGCAGCAGCAACAGGCTCCGCCCCCCGGACTGCTGGGCAGCAGGAAGATGGCCGACGCCGATGCCCCGCCCAACGTGACCGTGTCTACCTCAACCATTCCGCTCTCGATGGCCGCCAGCCTGCACCAGAACCGGCCGGCTGACCTCAGCAGCATCGTGCACCAGATCAGCCAGTTCTGCCAGGCCCGTGCCGGCGGCAGCTCTACCTCGGTGTGCGAGGGGCAGATCGCCAATCCCAGCCCCATCAGCCGCAACCTGCTCATCAATGCCAGCTCCCGGGTGTCCATGCACAACCCGGGCCCCAACCTCCTGCCTTCCTGCGTGCTCGGCCCTGCCGACAAGGCCGCCGGCCCGGTCCCGCCGCCGGCCGGGGCGCCCCCCGGTGGGCCCACCATGAATCGCATCCCGGTGTACCCCGCAGACCCCAAGCAGCAGCCGCAGCACATGAGACCTTGGAGTCAGCACCCGCTGGGCCACCTGCAGCACGGCCCGGAGAGCGGCCCCGCGGCCCCCCCCGGCTTCCCCTGCAAGAGTCTCAGCTACGCGCCGGAGATGTGCATGGGTCAGCCCTACAGCCTGAAGCCCCCGGTGGACAAGCCCACCCCCTCCCCCCCTGTGAACGGGACCCCGGCTTCGGTGGCCTACACCAATGGCTACTACTTTCAGCCCGCTTGGAGCAGCATTCTGCCGACGCCGAACAGCGACAGCTCGGGCTCCCAGGACCTGGCCGTGCCGTTCCACGCTGCCCCCCCGGGGGCCCCTGTAGACTGTGTCCCGGGGGCACATTACAGGGCCGGAGCTGGCTCCTCCAGCCAGACTAATCTGATGCAAACGGTGGATTACATGGGTGCGGACTTCCAGGCCCCATGCTTCCGAGATCAGAATCTGGTCATGATGGGCAAGATGCAGCGGCCCCCGGCGAGCCGGGGTCCCGAGGCGGGGGACAGCAGGAATAGTCACATTCAGCATCCAGGGTACAGATAAGCTTTAGCTTTATCTCTGCTGTTATTGATCTCTTTTAGTCTTAAATTAAAGGAATTAAATTAATAAATTAAGTAAATGGCCACTAAACTTTAAAAAAAGAATATATTTAATAAAGAACAGTGTTTTTTTTTCCCTTTTGTTGAAGACCTTGCAAGTGATCAATTGAACTCTTTTAAAACAAGCGACTTTAGGGGAACACTCTCTCTTTTTATGCTTTTCAAACGATGCCATTCCCTCATTCTTTATGTGTTTGGAGCTGACTTTTGCTCTTTCTTATGTCACGTTCAGTCCTGTGACCTTTTTTTCCTTTTAGTTCTGTGTGTTTTTAGTTCAAACCTGAATAAGTGTTTCCTCTTTTTAAAGCTAGAGATTTGTTCTAGATTAGCTGTATGGACAGAGTGATCTGCTCTGCTTTCCTGCTCTGTCCCTCTGAAAGCTCCTTCACGTCGTCTACTCAGACTACAGGCTCGCTCAGGTTCTTCTGCAGTTTTTTTTTTTTTGTCTTTTAATTAGGGATGTTGATTTAATTTTGGGGGACACGTAGGTGTCATCTTTCAGCCAAGTGAGCAAAAGCGCCTTTTATTTTGGGATATTTTTATTTTTTATAATAGATTGAATTCAGTCCTGCTTTTCAAGTTGGTTCTCTGAATTACTCTCTGATTTTGGTATCTAAACTTTATATTTAATCTCATGGGGATCAGTAGAGGTGACCAGCCTACTTCTCAGATGAAGGGATCAGTTTGGCCGGGTGGTATCTCTGGAGCCAATGGCATTTGGTGATATCAAAAAAAAAAGTCTAAAACAGCCAGAATATAATCCCGGCGATGAAGTCTAGTGCCATGCTGCTATTATTGTCATTTAAATAAAGTTGGTCTTGACACAGCTGTAATGTGACAGACCTTGCAGGCAGCCGAATTGGGGGGGGGGGGGGGGTGGAATTTAACATGCATCTTCTCATCCATTCAAGGAAAGGACTTGCCTGGTTGCTGCTGATGCTGAGGATTGTGTGTGTGATGAGAGACAGAAAATTGATCACTTGCAAGTTTGCAATTAAAAGTACTTTGAAAATCCATCTGAGCAAACGCATCATTTATTTTATCGTACACTGGCTTCACTGCACTGGCTTCACTGCACTGGCTTCACTGCACTGGCTTCACAGCTGTACTACTGTAAGTTGACGTGTAATGATTGCGTGTCTGTTGGTGTGTGTCTGGGTTGTGAGCGTGTGTGCGTGCATCTGTGGCTGTGTTTGCCCCCCCACTTTCCAGTCAGCTCTTTAAAAAGCCTTAAGTAATTTACTCCTTGTAGGCATGATCTGAGAGGACAGGAATTAAATATAGGGTGAGGATTATAGCTGTCACAGATTACAGATGAACAGCAGTCCTTTTTTAATGAAAGTATAGTTCTTAGAATTTCATAAAAAGACAAAGTTTTATTGTAATGACATTTGTAGTGTAGTACTGGGCTGTAACAAATGTCTTCAGACTTTCAAAGCTTCAGTTTTGCTAATTTGTCATTATTTAATTGCTTGATTTGCTTATTTAATTTCGTCCCCCCCCCCTTATTTTTGCTATCGCTCCTTAAACAGGACACACCCCCTCACTCTCTTCTCTTTGTCAGTATGGCTGTATGGCAGACGGGATGGCTGCGAGTTGTATTACATCCTTTTCTAATAATGTAATAAAAAATAAAGTTCTAATTTATGCTTTGAAGGCCAGGCTGCATGCGTCGTCTTTGTGCATCATGCCACCCCCCCTCGTGGTTGCAGTGTCTGGCCTGAGTTTCCTGTTTCACTCAAACTGGCACTTCCCCCTTTTATTCAAGACATTTTCCGCATGTCTTTCATTTTATTATAATTATTGTTTTTTTATGATTTGTTACAGCCCGGGTGGGATGGGGGTGTTGATGTTAAAGGTAGCTCTGACTGTAATGCAAAGTGCCTCCTCTGAAATGAGAAATATTGGGACTATGTGTGTGCATGTGTGTGTGTGTGTGTGTGCATGTGTGTGTGTGTGTGTGCGCACGTACGTGTGTGTGTGTGTGTGCACGTGCCCTTGGTGGCGCTCGCCAACGCACCTTGTCGTGGAAGCCGCCACTCCGACTGCCGTAGGGGCCAATTTATTGCTGGCACTGGATGTGCTCGCCAGCCGCACCCCCAGAGAGCTTTCTGGGGAAATGGCAAATGAAACTGGCGCCAGAGGCTGTAAGCAGCCACAGTTCCTGTGAGAGTACGACGACGAAACTGACGATTAACAAAAGGTCAATGGCCTGGTTCCACCTGGGTCGCGGTCCTGCTTCAGTGAACCCGCTCGTGCCCCTGGATCTGCCCCAGCCCTGCTGGCCCGGCCCCCGCTGTGTTTGTGTGCACAGGCCCTACCGTGTTTGAGAGGACAGGCCTTTATCCCCCATCAGTGTGTGTGAGTATGATTTTTTTTTTCATCAGGCTTTGCCAAAAATCCTATCTATCTGGTTCTTTATTTCTTGAAAAGTAATGTGTGTTGCACAAACATTCTCAACTTAAAAACAATAAAGCCTGACTTGCGTTTCTTGCTCTTTCTCTGTGTTTTTTTCCATCCTTCCATCTCTCTGTCACGAGACCCGTCAAGGTCCTGGCCCAGGCTGGGCTTTTAAAGCATTCGCCGTCGCGCTTAAACGGAAAGGAAACGTTGCATTAAAGGCATTTAAAATTCATTTTTGTGCAATTACCGCTAAGTGCATTGCTTAAATACCAAACCTCCATTAGAACACAGATTTAGTTACAAATTTAGTTGTTTTCCGTCTCGTTCATGTCGAGCCGCAGACTAAATGAAGCTCCGGGCTGCGTTGGATCTGCCAGATCGGCTTGCTTTCGTTGTCATAAAAACACTTTTGCCCCCCCTGCAAATGGGTGTCCCTTGCCGTTTGTTCCCAGCAATAAAAAAAAAAAAAGCTTGTAAGTGCCGCTGGTCGGGTTTGTTGCCGCAGCGATAGAAGAGTCTTTGTCAGTAAACAAACACCATGACGGCACGACTGACAACAGCTCATGAAAAGCAATAAATGAAACGCGGGGTGTCACGTTGGGTGTGAGTGAGTGTTCTGAGAGATAAGATACCATAACGTCCGTTAAATTACTGATGCCACCTACCTTCAGAGCCGCGTTATATAAATAATAGAAGTGCTTATTCAACGTTTCCAGCATGAAGCTCCTGGAGGTGGGTAATCTGCCGTAAATGTTGCTGATTTGCGCGAATCAGCTGCTGAAATCCTGCATGTGCTCTGTCCTCATCCTGCTGACCGATTGCATTTTTTTTTTATTGGTGCAACATATTGTATGTAGAACATTATACACTGTGATGCTGATCTGGTAAAAAGAACAAGCCTTTATATGTGCCTTCCCTGCCCCAGTAGATACCTTAACAGACCTGGTGTTCAAGGCAGAAACTGACTGAATGTGATGCAGGCTGGATGCTCCAGCCTCCTGACACGACCCTCTCACTCCCTCTCTTCTTGACCGGCACCCGCAGAAATGCCAGTAGCTCTTAAATGGCTTCTGCCCACCGCCCCCCCCCGTCTCCCCTCTTTGCTTTAAAGCCTGGTCATCACAGTCTACCGCATTCATGCGGACTCCGGCTGGGTCAGATGTTCCACTTCCACACCACGAGAGTTAAGCACATGAGTATTTTTATAGACTGACAAACAGATAAAGTGTAAAGTGACCACCACTCCCAAACCATAAAATACATGCGGTGGACAGGAATACCAAACGAGACTGAAGTTTTTAAGGTTGATTCCGTTTTACACGCATGGGTTTACAAGGCAGATTATTAAGTAGAATTCCTTGTTGTTGCGGACAGTCGATCATTTGGCTAAACCTAAATAAATAGTCACACAGACATGGTCAGGAGGACTCAGGGATTGTAAAGCTATGATGTGTGATTCCAGCTGCTGAAAACACCTTATTAATAAGAGGGGCCAGAAGAGAATGACCAGACAGCTAACAGGTGCAGAAAGTGCAGAGATGGCAATGGTGAGCAGAAGGCTTACCTCCATTCCATCATAGATATGGTCATATAATGTGATGAATCGGGAGTAAATCTCACTTGCATGTTGGGGGGGGGGAATATTGATGCACTATCGTCACCAGCTGAGGTGGGTGATGCTAATCGCTCAGTTTTGAGTTTTATTAAGCTTTGAAACTAGTAATGTAGTCAAGACCAGCTGAACTGAGTCCAAGTCGTTACCAAGGTCCAGGCAGGTCTAGACCAAGTCAAAATGTGTGTCACAGTATAATTTGAACTATGGACGTTTTTTCTTAACATTTCAGTATAAATGCTTATGTACAAATATAACATTTTTTTCCTTCGAATCAGTTGCACCTTATTGTTTGCGTTTGAACTTTGCGTGCAAAACATCCTGCTTCAATCACAGAACTGTGTTAAACGGAGGAACATTAAGCCGTTGTGATAAATATTGAGGTGTTTTGATGAGTGGTCTTGTCTGGTCTTGAAATAAACCCTCGAATCCTCTACGTCGAGTCAAAATAAAGTTGGTTCCAAAGCAAGACCACATACTGTAGCTACCGTTGGTGGTGCTTTGTAATGATTCATCCACAAGGTGGCAGCATGGTTCACAGAGAAAGTTAGGAAAAATAAAAATCTTATTGAAAAAAAGGTGAGAATAATTGTGACGCAGAGTAATTAATGGCCAGAAGGTTTTTAATCCAGAATATTGTTAGGAAAACAACATTGTTTGGCAAGGATTTAGAAATGCAAAATATTTTAATTTGCCATGACTATAAATTATATTGGTCAAAATATGTCAAATCATTTCTGAATAAATTATTTCCATTTTTATTCAGTGTTCTTGGGTTATAGATACACTGTAACAATGTAATATTGGTTTCAACATTATTCTTAAAAACTGATTTACAATAATATATGAATATAGGTGAAATGCATACTACTTATAAAAAGAAATATTAGAGTAATGAATATTTATGTATAGACTGTATTATAGAATGAATATTTTAGGAGTATACTTCAGTGTATAATTGCTTCAGGCATATCTCACTGGGGATGTTTGTAATGTTTTTTACATTGTTGCCTGAACCTCAGAGCTCTTACATGAAATTGTATTCAAAATTTGATACAAACCACCTGCAGGTGTTTTCTGTTAAACGGCACAGGTTTTATCTCTGTATCACAAACAGAAAATGAATGGTTTAGCCTCAAACACATGGAGGGAAATGCTACAATTTACCCCAAGGTCAGGGATAGCTGTAACACAGCCCTGGGTTGAATGTAACATCATAAATGACATAAAAAATTTTTGAGTTATTCAAAGTTTATTTATTTTTTAAAATAAATAAAATAATAAATTTGTGGGTATTCATGCATATGGGTACAATGTATGTTAACCACAACTAAGATCAAAGATGATAATAAAACCAAACAAAATTTGCAACTGTGCACCAATTTTAATAACTGTGTGTGTGCGTGTGCTGACAGGTGTATTGAACAGGTGCACAGTCTTGATGGGCCCACCATGGACAGTCCGTGCCAGGGGTGGGGGACCTGATCCATGGAGTGTTAGTGTGGGTGCTGGTTTTTGGGATGATCTCTCAATCAGCCAATAATAAAACAGCCAGTCCTGGGGACTGATTGTTATTGGCTGATTGAGATGTCACCCCAAAAACTTGCATAAGTTGAAAGGGTTAAAATGAGGGTTTTGTAAAAGAGAGATGCTTTCTGGGGGACACTGCCCTCCGGAGGCCAGAATGAGAAGGTGCCCCTTTCACACTCTGCTGGTCATCATAGGCGTTGTCTCCACTTCTTCTACAGGTTGTGCCGGCCGCCTGCGGCTCAGCAGTCGATACCAGCTGCTTCCTGTAGACACATGGTGCTTGGAGTCTCACAGTAACACTCAACTATAATGTTTCACACCTTCATTTTAGTCCAAGCAGATCAAAGCCACATGTCATACATTCTGAAGCAGATCAAAGCCACATGTCATACTTTCTGAAGCAGATCAAAGCCACATGTCATACATTCTGAAGCAGATCAAAGCCACATGTCATACTTTCTGAAGCAGCCTTACACACCGGAGCATCTCTAACTTCACACAAATATGATGCATGAAAGCCATTCCTTGCAGTCCTGTTTCTCTCTCTGCTTCTGCTTTGTGTACCTTCAGCCATGGTGCCTTTGGATATACATTGTAACGCACTGATTTCTGAAATACCTTTCGCAAGGGGCAGGGCCCAGATGTTACATTTTGATATTGCCTTAAAAAAAAAAAAAACAACAACCAGCAGCCATCAGCCTACTGCCTGACCTCTAGTGGGCCATACCTCTGTCCCTCCTGGTGGGAGCCGTAAGCTCTGGGTCTTTCTCCTGGTTTCCTGGTTCTTCCTTTATAATGCCGAGGTTGCTGCTCCACTTGTCCCAGTTGACCTCCTCCATGCTAAAATGACAACAGACGTGTTCCAGTTACGGGTTGTGAAAGCAGACCGACGAGATGCTGTCGTGCAAAGTGAAGTACGACTGCAGGTGCTGTAGTGAGGCCTGGACACCCTTCAAGTGAGTAAATGCACTCTGCGATTTACCGTGCTCTCGGGTCCTCTACAGCAGTGTGTGCCACCCCGGTCCTTGGGCACCCCGGGACACTCCACAATGTGGAGGGTCTGGGGGTCCCTGGGAACTGGGTTGGGAAACACTGCTCTTCAGTGGCTTTAAGCCAATTTAAGGTCATAAGTGTCTGAAAATGAATCACTCTTAACTTGAAGCCAGGTTGATTTAAATTGTTAAATTTGTTAACTGATAATTACACATAAGTAACATTATTAGCACATAATTTCATACAGCATGTAAAATATACTGAATACTGATACGAAATACTACAGTTATAGCCAAAGTATTATGCAAGTATGTGGTCTTGATCAAAGAGATCGATTCCACTGATATTTCTGCTGTTTAGCAGTGGGTCCATTCAATAGCTATTTATCCACAAGCTGTCATTTTGTGGCTCAGGCTATAGGAGATAATAATGAACGACCACAGAGGAAGCCAGTCTCCCTGAGATGGGACTTGCTGTTCACTGGCTGCTACTCTCAGGCATCTGAGATCCATCTGGAAATGCTGACCACAGTGAACAGCAGTTCATTTGTCATTGGAGCACAGTCAGCTACGCCTCATGTTTTCATTGCTCCACTGTAAACATCTCCGCATCTCCATTCACGTGGAAACTGTCCCGTCACCCGTTGTATGGTTCACCTGAAGCACCAGCGCTTGTCTGTCTCAGGCTTCCTGCCCAGGTCTTTCTCCATCCCAGAGCGCAGTCTCTTCCTGAGGCAGGAGGGCAGAGTCCTCTCTATGTCCAGGATGGTGATTGCTCTCTGCAGAGACAAACCTGTCAGCCCCTGGTCCACGTTAATGAGGCCAGTCAACAGCGAGGAAGCGCTGAAGATGCCAGCCATAGATTATTGGTCATAGATCTGTTTGCTGTATCTGCTTACAGGCGTAACAGAAGCATTCAGGTGGAGGCTGTGGATTCCTCAGCACATTCTCATTAATATGACATCATCAAGGTAACTAAAGTCATCCATCACATGAGGTGAAATAAAGGTTAAATGGAGTGAGTTTAACTAACGACTTTATTTGATAGATAATTTTATGTGGCTTCCAGTCCTTCTATGTTGGTGTCAAGGACAACTTTACTGAGATTGAGGCATAAATAACATAAAAATATCATGATAACTATATTTTTAATACTTTATATCTATTACTAGGTGACCTCTTATTTACTGTATAATAAAATGTATAAATAAACAACAAGTGTCCAATTATGCATAATGCTTCTTGATTTTCCTCTTGTGATCAATGCTTGACTCAGCACACAGAATAACTATAAAGAACACCTAGTCAAAATGACCCACCTTGGGCATGAGTTAAACATAAAGAATAAAGAACTTCGATGAACTATGTTAGAATTATTCATATAACATTTTTGCAATTTTGTTCTCTTTTACTGTAAGGAAAGAAAACAAATGCTGACGACTCTGCATAATTATGGAGGTAGTCAAGGCTCCATTTTGTATATGTTGTAGAGTCAGTGGATTTCGGTGCATCTGTGTACCTGAAGTTTCCAGATGGTGAAGCTCTTTTCAGAGATGTTCTCCACAGTCTTACTCATAAGTGCGATGATCATGTTGAGCAGTAGGATGTAGGTGAGCACGATATAGGAGATCAGCAAAATGTAGAAGACCTCCTGGTACTGGAACTGGTCAGTGAACTCCAGGTCACCCATTCCAATGGTGAACTTGAAAAGTTCCTGGATGGTGAATTGTATGTTTTTGTAGGTGGGTTTTTTGCAGTCAGCGTTATCTTGTGGGTCGCCGTTCTCCGTCATGTTGGTAGAAGAGTCCTCAATCAGTGTCACCACAGCTGTGGTTGCAACGTTTTACGTTAATTACATAAACTAGACCGTAAATGAAACATGACTGTACATTAGACAGTATGGGAACAGAAAGGAAGGAAAGGACACAAAAAGTTAGAATAGGTATGAAAAACAACTGATACCTGCAGAAAATCCGAGGAGGTAGACAATGTAGACAAAAAAAAAGCGTAAAATATCACCAAGGATCATCTGAAGTGGAGGAAAAAAATATGTGATTTTGAGGCAGCTGTCAATCCCTGTCAGTGCTGTAGCATTAATGTGACACTGATTCTTTCATGTCAGTGCTCTCAGTGCTAAAGTAACAGCCGCCATCTTTTCAGCAGCCAGAAGCCATTCTGCTTGTACCTTTTGTATCATGACAGTATAGATGCCCATATGTCTGGAACCTCGGGAGAAGTAGAGCAGATTGACCCAGCTGAGGGCGAGACAGATCACCAGGAAGCCCAAGTATGCATGCATTCCAGAGCAGTACAGGACTGCCGAGATGATGAAGAGGAAGCCCTGTATGAAACTAGCAGCAGAGCACTTTATCAAACTCAGCAGACTGCCAATGTGAGTTTGGAAATGACATGAGATTAACAAATCATGCTTTATGACTTTCTGCATGCAGTTGGAAGAATCAGAACACTTTGCTGTAACTAATTAATATCTCATAATTAGTATTGCAAGCAGTTTAATGCTCACATAAAGTGTCTGATTTCTAGTTGATGACTTGCAGTTGGCAAAGACACGACAAGCTGACTCACAAAAGAAGTTCGTCGTAGCCGTCGACCAGCAAAGACTGTGGCGTGGGACACTTCCTCCATATATCTAATATCTTAATGAGAAATGTTGACGATTTGTATTCTTACAACAAGTAACAGTATCATGTGACATCACAACAGTTTTTGGAAAATAACATATGGGTACCATTTCAAAAAGAAAAGCATTTTTCTTAGGATGTATGAGAATTAAACATCACTTAATGAGGAGGTGAAAAGCTATTAATATGTTCTTAAACTTTATTGACTGAAAATACATTTTGGGAAAATTAATTGTACTGCATTGAACAAGTAATATTTTTCCCCTGAAGAAATGATGGAAGATTTTTTTTTCGCTATTTGAGTGGTTTCAGTTACACTCAAATAGCGAGGCACAGGTATGCAGAGTATATAATCCGTGTGCAGTTAATACAGAATATTATAATTTTTGTCTCTTACCCCTCTGATAAAGAAGAGGAGCGCCCCAACAGTGCTGATCAGCAGGCCCGTGAGGTACAGACAATCCACAGACGACTGCACTGGAAAAGGCAGCTGTAATTCAAAGGACAAAATTAGGCCCAGACAGACCATGAAGAGTACCAGGAGATTTCCCTGCCGTCTGGCTCGCCGTTCAAAGCAAAACAATAAATAATCAAATGGTGAAACAAACTAAATGTTTTAGTGCAAAATGAGTATGCAGTGTGGACCCACCCCGTACCTCTCATTTTGTGGCCTGTTATGAATCCACAGCTATGAGACCCAAGTATCGATGTCATGTCGGCATTGTATATAGAAAAATAAAGGAAACAGCCCTGCAGGGGGCAGCATGGTGGTGCAGTGGTTAGTCGAACCTTGAAGCAGATGGACTACAGCCGCAGAAGACCACACTGGGTGCTGCTCCTGTCAGCTAAGAACAGGGAGCTGAGGCTACGGTGAACACAGGCTCAGCAAAATCGGACAATGGGAGATTATAAAAACCGGTTTGGTCAGATGAGTATCGATTTCTGCTGCGACATCCTGATGACAGGATCAGATTTTGGCATAAACAACAAGAAAGCATGGACTTATCCCAACTAGCCATTTCTAGTCAAAAAGTACACATAAGTATCTAGAACAAAAAACACAATGTAACGCAGATAAAACTTTTAAGTAGTAATTAACCTAACTTTAGAAAGAATACAAGTGCGAAGACATCTAGTTTGTATACATTTTACTGTGTTCAGACATTAAAAAACATGACACAGCTGATGCGACATCTCTGACGCACATGCACTGCTGAACAACTAATCAGCACATGACCCTCACTTCTGTTTCCCGTATGTCGCCCTAAAGCTGCAGGAATTGACGGCTTTTTCAGGCTAGACCTTCTCTGATTGAAAATCCCAGCATTTTTTGATAGTGAGGGTGGGTATCATATCGGTGTCATCTCTATGGGTAAAAAAATGAATCAAGGATCAAATTGAGTAAACAGAGTAGTAATATCATAGGTCACCAGGTCAAACATCTTATCTAAGTCACCCATGCCTTTGCTGTCACTAAGTGCCGTATTTTCAGTTTTTGGGCAATATGTTTCAAAGTTTCATCACTTTCAGTCTGTCACCCATGCAATATGGCTGCACTTTCTTTCTTTTGCTGCTAGAAATGATCTGTCAAAGACTTTTTGAGTTACTGTGTTAAGTATCTGCAGCGGTGGATTGGCTCCAAAGACATGGGTATCCCTCATCTGGGGAATACAAGTCCTGTAAGTGACTTAGTGATGCGGCGTTTCATTGGTTAACATCGCACACCTGATTATGCTAATGGGTCAGTTCCCTGCCCAGATTTTATTTGCGTTGGATGCTCTCATTCAAAAGACCTAAATGAAAAACAATTCAGAGTGGTCCAGAGGACGCATGTCATTTCGAGGAGAAGTAAAGATAATGCTGGTGTGATGTGGATGTAAGCGGCAATGGAAATGGTTCAAATATGACTAGCAAGCATGATTGCAGGAGTATTAACTTTATCTATTTTTTTATAAAAAAGTTGTGTATCTTGCCAGTTTTGCTGCATAAAAATGGCTTTCAGTGTAGAGGAAGTACAATGGGAACTTAAAATATTCTGTGACGCTTTCTGTGCTTGCGTACTTTACGATACTCCTATATCTGTATAAATCAATACCATGGATGAATGAAAATACATTAACTCATGTGTAACTGCTCGCATTTTATGCACATAAACTGACTGGCTCTCATGTCAAATCAATAGTCTCCAACACCCTGTGTGACAGAAACCTTCTTTCATGGTCTGTAGCACTGTTACTGTTCATTAGAGCACATATTTCTTATGACTTCTAAAAAGCATCAATACTCCCAGCCATGTTACAATGTATTTGTAGAATAAGCAAGAATTAAGTTCCCGGCTTTTTTTGTTTTGTTTCACTGCCAACTAAAGAAAAACGTGTGGATGACAAAACATCTTCTACTTTCAATGTTTTTCAGGAAGAAAACATTGGTGCATTATTTGAATAAAATGCAAGCGTATCAAATATATTTGGCCATGTATATAGGTAATGGTGAAGAATTTGCATTTTCAAGGACTCACCCCGCTCCATTTGTGAATGTGGTATGCAACCACCGTAAAGGTGCTCAAATATGTAAGATAGGCAATGAAGTTGAAGAGAAATATCCATTTGGCGAACTTGTCCCATTTGTCATTAAGCAAGCAATTCAGAGGCTCAACTTGTAGCATCTCAAGTCGATTCTGAAACATAATTGACATAATTTCAATCGATGAACATATGCATGAAGATATCTGATAAAGGCAAAGACTGCAGCATCATGGTACGTGAGGAGGATTCCTACATAGGCAGTAGTTTGAGAAAAGTACATTGTTGTCATGGTCTTACTGGTATCCTGCTGTTGTAGATAATGATCTCCATCACAGAATTCTGCTCATAGGAATCAAGTGACGTCACATCATACAGGGATGACTGTACCGGGCCATAGACCCACTCTGTGAACTTGCGGGAAAGGTGATGAAATTCCTCATTTTGGAACTCGCGCCGCACCATGTGTGCAAACACCTGGAAGTGAAGTTGACAGAGCTTTAGAACAAGGATCCAGGAAGAGGTGAAAGCAGCAAATACCTTGGTGAGGTCCTTGCTAACTTCTTATGACTGCTGAGCTTAGGGACAGAACCAGCACACAGAAAATAAAAGGAATTAAGGACTGATAAAGATGCACCGATGGTACAAACCTCAGTTTTGCCTGACTTAGCTGCCAGCTTTAGTGGCGTCAACATTTGATGGTTCTCAATGTCCTCCAGCTTAATCATTGGGTACCGCTTTGCTGCTGTAGTGAGGATATGATCATACATCCTTATGATGAAGTTGGTGTTCTCTTTGTCTGCGACCAGGACCAGAGCATGTAGCACCATGTTTCCCTGGGAATCCGTCTTTGCGATGTCCACCTTCTGGTACGGATTATCGATGAGAAAATCAACAACGGCCGGCTGATTGGTACAGGCTGCCAGTGATAGTGGCAGCTCACCTGTGTGGCAGAAGGTCATGAATTATGTTTATGTTCAAGGGTCAGTTGTACTCTACTTGTAGGTAAATGTACCTTCTAATCAAATTTAAGGTACAGGACTCAAATTTAAGACACAGGACTCTGAGGAACATCCCTAAGGTACAAACATCATTAATGTACCCCTAATAGTACAAAAATGTTCCTCATAGTCAATGTCTGTATCTTCAAAGGTACAAGACCTTCGAGGGTACAGCCCCACTGACAAGCAAAGGTACAAACTGGTACTCTTTTTTTTCTGACAGTGCAGACGCTCGCATTGTATGTGAAACTCAACAAATCTCATGGAATTTTTATACCTCTGATCATCCCTCATCATGGTGCCCCACATACCAAAGTAGAAATTGGGTCCTTTGTGTTCCTGGAAGAATTTCCCACAGGCTCTGGCATGAACATCAGCTCCTTTTTGCACCAGCAGCTTGACAAAGGACTCACTCCTTCTCTCTATGGCAACGTGAAGTGCAGTTTGCCCTGTATCAGCCGAAGACACAACATATAGTGAAAATACAATGTACATCATCATGAAGGGTTTAAGGGAATGCTGTGAAGGTTGTGTTCGATCTTACCTTTATATTTGCTGTCTGTGTATGCTGCGTTGACAAATTTCTTCAAGTCCCCCATTTTCTCTGCAATATCAAGGAGAATCTCTATGGTGTCATTTTTGCCATCCTTTAGATTTAGGAGCCCTTTAATAAGGGCATTTTTACCATGTGATTGATCTGTAAAAAGAAATATATCACTATGATGAGGTTTTGTTTTTAAAAAATTACATTTATACAGTTACAATGAACACCATGGGTGATATTCCTGATAGTTATCATGAATCAGTTCAGTACAGTTTCTATAATTTTTGTCATAGGTGCATTCAGAACTATGTGTTTCTTGATCATGCAAATCAGTTATTTAGCGAACAAGGTCAGTCATGTATTACAGTAATTTGTAGGTCGTAGGTGGATCCTGAAGAGGCGGCAGCTCACACTCAGTATTGGTCAGGTGTTTCAGTGTGTGCTCCAGGTACTGATCCAGCCCTTGCAGTCGGGTGGCATCCCCACTGGACACTGCCGCAAACAGGGTCTCCATGTCAAATCTTTCCCCCTGATCGTTGCTTCCCACTGACTCTCTAACCATTCTGTAGAGAAATCACTGTGATGCGTTTTCAGATGAACCACAGCAGATACATGGTGCATGCTATTAAAACCAGGGCAACGTACCTATCAAAGTTGAGATTAAATTTAATTTTTGGCTTAGTGGTCTCCACATCCTCAGATAGGCTGGTGTCCATCTGCACGTTTCCTTCCTTTGATCTACTGCCCTGTTTGGCTCTTTTACCTCGAGCACTTGCATCTTCACTCCCATCATAAGTCTCCAGGGAGAACGGCTTAATTACTGGGTCATTTGAGTGACTCATGCCTCCTGCCTGTGAAAGCCTAGGCAAAGCACACGAGAGGCTGTTCAAATGACAAATCCTTTATTGGCTATTTGCACAAGTACAGGTACATTGCAACTCTTCTCTTCTCCTCCCTCATCTTGCTCTTCCTAGCTTGGGGGGGGGGAGCTGGGGTTACGGGCCTCGCTAAAGCCCCCTTAGATACATGACTGTTCTGCCAAAGTTAGGACTTGAACAATAATCTTCCAATCATGGGCAGAAAGACTTAACCTGCTGAGTTCCACTTGTTTTTGTTTTTTTTTGTTTTTTTTAAATGATAAAAAAAAAATGTACGGCTGCCCCACCCTGAATGAATAGTGAATGATTACCGTAGATGTAAGATACTTCTTCTCCACATACATCACCAGGTCTTCACCGGATTCAGGACTATCACTAACCCTAACCCCAACTGTAACACTAACCCTAACCCTAACCCTAACTATGACACTAATCCCCTAGCCTTAATCCTTACTGTAACACTAACCCTTGGGGTGACTGTTGTGAAACATACTAACTGAGTAACGGCGTGGCACAGTACTGGCACGATTAGCACTGTTGCCTCGCACCCCTGGAAGTGGGGGTCTCCGCCCTGCCCCGTCCTGCTCCAAGTCTCTGGAGTTTGCATGGCGCATTAAAGTCGCCGGTTCCTCCATGTTTCAGTGAATGGTGTGCGACTGTGACTGTGACTGTGACTGTGCGCTGTGATGCACTGGCGCCTCAACCTGGGTTATACCCTGCCATAGCTTCTGGGCTAAGTCCAGATCCCGGCATAGGACTGGCGGGCACAGATGGATGGATTGAATGACCCTGCCATAACACCTTCACAGACAGGTTCTCTGATACATCTCAAACAAGGCTGCATCCTGACAAATGACTTTTTACACATCTCTGAAACCAGATAACCAGATTCTCCGACCTATCCTATTACCTATATAGGTTTTTATATTATGACTGCTAAAAAGTCTCTATGTGTTAATTTCCCTCATTGCACAATATAATTCAACAGTATAATACAAAGTAACCCACTGATGTCTTAGTCTACCTTAACACCAGTGGCTACTAAGAACTTTGAAAGACAGACCTGTGACTCATAATGAAACTTCGTGGCAACATTTCAGCTATTTTTATGTATGGAATTTGGAGGGTGGCGAGGGGGGAAGAAAGTCATTTGTACAGTTATTTATATTTCCTAGTTACTACTCACATAGTAACGATACAACATGTGACACAATAACAAAGATATTTTGGTAAACCCCTACCTCAATCTTTGCTGACACAGTAACTTGAACAGAAAACACAAGTCGTGGTGTATAATAGATTATCATTACCCCGTGGTATTCTTTTATCTTATGAGAAAGCTCACAACGCTGAGACATGGTTGGAAGACGGATGGGTGGGAAAAGCAGACTTTTATAAGTGTAAATGACATTTATACCATATTAAAGTAAATAACTATATTATAGTAAGAAACCCTTTCTCTGTGTGAATCATTTTTAAAGCAATCTGGTAAAGTTCCTTTTTCTAAAAAGACACATCCTTAATTTCACTGCTATCAAAGTTAGTTGACCTAACTGGGTATTGCTTTTACTGTGATCTTTGGAGAAGCAAACACCAGCCATCGCTTAATGTTGGAGATGAGCAGAAGATCACAGAAACAAGCTGAAGGCTTCACACGCAGGACGTATGCAAAGGTAGCAACATATTACAGCATTTTGTTTTTGACAAACTGTGCCTATTTTACTTAAGATGCAATGAAAGCCTTCATTATATGTGTTTTCCCCCAATGTTTTTTTTTATTTGCAAAAGTACCATAAGTGTCTATTAGAAGCACAGGCGGTATTACCTTAGTCTTACTCACTCGATTTTAAAATTATAAAAAAATAGTTAACAGATACAGACCCTGTTGCTCAATCTGGGGCCAGTTGCTCGTTAATTCCGTATTTTCCCAGGTCTTAGTTGTCCTCAGGTCTCAGTCTCTTGGCTTGTTCTCCTTAGCTTCTCTGTCACAATCTCTTTGGAGCTGTTAACCCCCCAGAATCTCGTCTTCTCAGTGCTTCCTGAAATCATTCTTCCGGTTTTGCATCCGCTGAGGTGAAATGCAATAGATTGACTTCCTGCATGTGACAAGCGTTGAGATTGTGCTGAATACCACAGACGAGGTGTGGCTCCCTATTTTAAAGGTTCATAACTCGGTGCCTCTGTGCTAACATGGACCCCTCAGAGCACTAACCGTGCATCTTACAAGTACATAAACCTAAATTGCTCATCAGGTACCGCAAATGAACATGAGACATTTTGCCTTGCATCCTCATTTCCACAAAATCATCCTCCAAATACTGGAACAGTATGGAGGTCGTATCTCCTTAAGCAGGCCTAGGCAAAGCACATGAGAGGCTGTTCAAATGATAAATCCTTTATTTTCCATTTGCACAAGTACAGGTACATTGCAATTCTTCTCTTTTCCTACCCTATCTTGCTTAAAATAGCTTGGAGGTCCCAGTGCAGGGTCAGTCTATGTGCAGTGCCCCCGGTACTGGGGGTTAGGGGCTTTGTGTGCTTTCGCCGAGGCCTGCATAAGAAAAATCTATCATTCTGAAATCAGAAATATGAGAATACAAATTCATTTGATAGTTCTAATTATGATCTTTATCAGGGGTCTTTACATCAAGCAGAATGGTAAATATCAGGGATGGGAACAAATCATTCCTCCGAGTCAAGTGTTGAGTCAAAACATTGCAGTCTGAGTTAAGTCTCGAGTCATTTGCCCTCAAGTCCAAGTTGAGTCTAAGTCTTTTTGCTGTCCGAGTCTGATTCAAGTTGTGAGTCATGTAATTTGAGTCCCTACTTATGTCAGTTTTTTTTTACCTTTAGTGATTAAAACATGCTGCAGCAAAAGCCCCCCACAGTAAGGGTACATTCTTTATAGGCAGAGAAAGACTGAAAAAAAGAGTCTCTACTCTGTCACGGTTTTTATGTCTGTGCATATGCAGGGAGTGATGAATCTTTCCAACAAACTATCTCAGGAGACATTGCATTCAGCTAACTGAAAATGCAGACAGAAGAGAATTAAAATACACTGAAATTATAAAATTAACATTACGGTATCCAGAGGGGGACTATAACCTAAAGTCTTTGCAAGTCATAGGGTCCAAATTGGGTCCAAGTCTCAAGTATTTGCTCTGAAGTCCAAGGCAAGTCCAAGTTTTTCCATCAGTTTTGCTAAGTCTAGTCACAAGTCATGAAATTTGTGACTTGAGTCATAGTCAAGTCACGAGTAAGTTACTTGAGTCCCCACAGATGACCCACTCCTCCATGAGCTGTTGGACAATGACATGAATGGTTGGTAGAGCCAGAGGAGTCCTTTATTTGGATAGGAGATTTGTCCCTTTTGCTGACTGTCTCCAGATAACAGGAGTGGATTATGACCTGTCAATCATTGTTGGATGTGAGTTCAGCGAAGCAGCTCAGCTCACAGTCCCGCCTGCTCGCCTGCGGCCGTCTCTCGGATGGCTCCTCCTGCCTTCCTGCCCACGGCTGTTGCAATGATGGCTCCTGCCTCATCTACCTTGCCTGCGGCCGCTGAGTCCTTGACTACTGCTTCGTCTTCTGTGGACTCTTGTCTCTTCTCTTCTCTTCACTGGTCCTCCTGTCAGCTCTTGCCCTGATTCCAGATGTCACCTAGACATGTGCTTCAGCCTTGGCCATCTCTCAGCGCCCTCCGGCCCTGCCTGCCTCTCAGCGCCCTCCGGCCCTGCCTGCCTCTCAGGGCCCTCCAGCCCTGCCTGCCTCTCAGCACCCTCCAGCCCTGCCTGCCTTTCAGCACCCTCCGGCCCTGCCCGCCTCGCCTGCCTCTCAGCACCCTCCAGCCCTGCCTGCCTCTCAGCACCCTCCAGCCCTGCCTGCCTCTCAGCACCCTCCA